CATTAAAAAATATTTATAACTAGTATAAAAAACCAAAAACAAACTTTTATTGACCGAGAACAATTGTGTTTATTTGATAACTAATACAATACACAAAACATAATTAATTTATTAAAAGAAACATATCTCTAATATAATAAGAAAAATATAACTCATATAATGCAATATGAGATACCTTTAAAAAATGAATGATCATCAGAGAAAATGTTGGTCCATAATTTTATTTATAAAATCGTTTGTCTATAGCGAAGTCTTAACTTGTAAATTCTGGGAATACAAATTTGAGTCTTCATGATTAGTCTTTTGATGTAAAACATGAGTTCAAAATTTTCTTTATAGACCTTAAGTCAGCAATTTATTCCGTTAAACCACCAAATATGAAAATTATAGATGATTTGTGAAATAAATTATATATGACATTTTGGAATTTTTTGATATTTCCTTTAAAAATTCAAATTTAATTATAGAAGTGTTTATTATTTTGTAAGTCTTGCAAAAATTTATTAGTATTATATATATATATATATATATATTCGACAATGACAACTTTATTAATTGATGGTTAACTAATCTTCCTATTTATTTTTCTCTCATATAGTTTATAGATTTGTTCTTTAAAATGTGTATTAAAAATGCATTGGAAAAAAAATATATATATTGCAATTATTTTATTTATTTATTAAATTTAACTTTATATCACTATTGACCCCTCAATTGAAATTTTCTAACTCCGCCCATCTATTCGGTTCGATAAATAAGCTAGGTATTACAAGTGAGACTTGTCTTTCGTGGGCCAAATCTTACTTTTAAACAACTTTCCATTCAGATCTGATATGAGACAAGTCTCTCTTACAATACTTTTCCCCCACCCAAATTCGCAACCTCAAAGTCACCCTGCCTAAGCTGCCTAAGCAGGGTGACGCATCAAATACATCTAAATCGAGCGTTGGCATAATATCGAATCAAAAATTAGATCTGGTTCAAATTTAAAAAATTGATAATTCAAAATATAAAATTAAATAATGATTAAAGCTATTCCCATTATTTGGCCGAGAATTTTGGAGGGAATGCATGACTTGACATTGAAGTGATCATAGGACCACATTATAGAAAAATAGGACTCATCATAGCTTTATTAACTTTTTGACATTATGCAAGAATTTGATTGGTTCCGAGTGGCCGACCAACTACATTTTGGTGGTTCAGGTATCCCATCTTGAACCAATTTTAATTTCACTGACATTTTGAGATTTGGACAAATTACACATTCATAAAAAATTAGATCTTTATTAATTTAACATTCTTTAAAAGTGTTAAATATTATTTATATTCTTATTTAATTTAATATAATATAATATAATAAAAAAATTGTTAAGCCAAAAGACTTTATTATCCTTTTCTTTTTTTTCTCAATCTTGTAAACACTATATTACCCTTTAAAAAAAAGTTGAAAAAAAAAAAAGAAACCTAATCAAATGTCATTAATTAAAAAAAAATATATCTTTTTATAAAATTTAATAATCTAAAATTGGTATGAAATTTAATATTTTGTATTTGAATGATATTTTATGATACTTTTTGTCATTTCATGTCAAAATATAAAGTTGTTGAGGTTTTTTAATATAAGGAAAGAACAACTTAGTAATTTTATAGAAAATGTTCACTAATGATAAGGGGTGTCGTTGAGCACATGCATCAAATTTCAAAATATGTCAAAGTAATAATGGTCAAAAACTCTATTTGTGTGTAATTTGTCTAAATTTCAGGAAAGGTCAATGTAATTTATCCAAAAAATTTAGGTAACGTGCCATATTGAATTCCGATAATAGGACAAATTTGAATAATTTTATGTGAGCAATTGTTTTTTTATATATTTTTATTTTATGACGTGAAAACCCTCGCGCCCGCCGCCCTTTGAACTTATAGCTACCAGGTAAACCTCGTTACCCGCCTCGGCTCCACAATGCGAGTGACATTTTAAGTTGAGGTATATAAGGGAGTCAAGATATATTATGTGAGCAAATATTGATATCATTATAACGTCATAAAGATGAATAATACCGTTAGTTCCAACTCATATAAATAGATTGGAGAGATATCCAATTATGAGACTCGTCATTATTCTAATAAGGGGTGAATCTAGGGTTGGGCTCAAGCCCACCCAAAAAAATAAAAAATTCTATTAATATAGGCAATTTTAGCCCAACCAAAAAAAAAGAAAATATTAGTATTATACAAACAAGTCCAAGTTGACTAAATTTATATTTAATATTAGCATACCCCTTGATAATTACTAAATCCAATATTGATTCTAATAGCATACATATTTTTCTTTTTCTTTTTTCGATAACTAACATACATATTTTTCTCTTTGCATGTTCAGAGGTTTTGACTTGGAGCCTCAGATAATTAACAGGCATTATTAAAGAAGTTAGACACGTCAATCTTATTTGATTGATGTTGGCAAATTGAACAATTAATAACAAAGCATGATAATTAATAGGGAAACATCACCATGTCCACATCTTTTAATTAATATTAGAATGCTTGACATTATCTTGAAAATAATTATTGTTCATATACTTAAAATTACATTCTCACACTTCTCTAATTCACAAAAAATAAGATAATTAATAGTATTTGTTTAAATCAATGACGTGGAAGTTGTGAAGGGTTAGGTAACAGACCAATACTGATTTAAGATTGTTTTACTTTGTGTAAATGATGTCAAATATTAAATATAAATTTAACTGCAAACTATAAAGTATAAAGTCGTTATCATTATTGAATTTTGTGAACAAAATGGACCTAGAATGAGAGACTTTTGGAGAAATCGTATTCATTGGATCCAAACTAGAAGGACAAGAGTGAATTCAATAGAAATCAATCTCCTTGTGTCCAATTTTAATGAGAGACTGTTGATGGTAGTTCGTGAGTAAAATGAGGAGATCGTTCCACGTCAGCCAAGAGATCTAAGATCAGTATCCAAGTGGAGATCCAAGTAATACAATGGATTCTCTAGGTATGGAGATTAAGAAAGGAAAGGCCGACTTCGGTACTATGCAAACTCGAGCTTGTCAGAGGATAATTGTTAATGTGGTGGTTGATATCTTTAAGGCTGATTAACACCCCTATTTATAGCGTTTATCTCATCGGTCAATGTCTTTTAGTCCTTTAGCTGAACCCGCTCTTATCCAAAGGTTCGATGGTCTCTTCGTCTGACGAATGAGACGCTGATGGATAGGTCGCGACGCTTTGCCTCCTTGTCAAAAGAGGTAACGGCACTCCCTAATTAATGTGGGTCTTATCAAATGTCTTTCGCAATTAATGCGTTTCTTATCCTTCATCGCTCGAGCTTAGGTACCGGGTATCCTTTCCCTCTTGTGCTGGCCTCGGACTGAGGCGACCTCTTAGATCTCAGCCACCTATCCACATGTCCTCAGATTCCCGTGCTTCAGTGGGGATAGGCCCCCCTTTCGAGGTCCTGCCTTTATGACCTCGCGGGCTCCCATCCCAGTTCTATCCCGAGGTCTTCTTTGCCAAGAAGGGAAATGTATAAACAGGTCAGTAGAGGTTTCTCTTTCAGAAAACACCCTCGAGCGAGCCAGGGGGGGAGAGCCCATCCGACTGGAGCGGGGCGCATCCACAGTAGAGGAAGGGTAGCGAGCCCTCCCTCGGTCAATGAGTTCCGTTATTGGATAGGTAGCTCGAGAATACCTAATCCATCGTGAGCACGCCAGGTCAGCACTGGCCAATTGTGCCTATGTTGCAGAGGTGGCGCTACTTAGTCAGCTATCGTGGCGCGATTATCAACAAAGACTTTTGGAGAAATCGTATTCATTGGATCCAAACTAGAAGGACAAGAGTGAATTCAATAGAAATCAATCTCCTTGTGTCCAATTTTTTAAATGCCGTCTTTTAAATGTAGTTGTCAACTGAAACGAATATTTGCAGTTGCATTAGATTGAACCAAGACCTTCCTATACCAAACGGGTTGACCCACCAAAATTTATTAGCATTTCCTCATCCAACTCACCTATATGTGGTGTGTCACTTTCATCTTTGTGACTTCCACTTCACCTGTATTGCGAGTGTTGCCTACCAAAATTGAATAAAAGCAGGCCAAGATCACAATTTAAAGACAAAATATAGAAACCAGATTCCCTCCTGTTTACGCAGGTTCGGTGCCTTGCCACCTAGTGTATCAAAATGTTATTTTGATGCACCGGATAGGGCACAGAACTGGAAAGGATTCATTCTCCAAATTATAAGCTTACGATTGTAATTGAAGTCCCCGCTTCTAAGTACCACTCACTTTTTAGGGCTTATTGTGAAGCACTTTATAATTTGTTAAAATCTATCATACAAGTATAATATATATAAATTGTCTTGATGCAGCAGCGGGACACTGGACATGTCGGGATCCACTCACCAAATTATAGGCTTAAGATTGTGGTTGTAGTCCACAACTTCAATTTGTAGCCTCCGAGGCTACTTACTTTTTAGGGTCTATGGAGATATCATTTATATTTTGTTAAACCCTATCATACATGTACAATTCATAAAGATTGTTTTATTGCACCGGGGGCATAGGCAAGAGGGAATCCACTCTTCAAATTATAAGCTTAAGATTATGGTTGTAGTCTGCAACTTTAATTTGCAGGCTCCGGTACTACTTATTTTTTAGGATCTATTTATTGTTTAAGGGTTTGATATCGTTATATACCTCCATGAACTAGTTGGTTCGATTGATTTATATTAATATTTGTCCGAATTCGTTACACTGCAATCGTGACTGCGACCAAACTACGAACCCTAAACCTGTTAAGGCATCTTTATATTTTTTTAAACCCAACCCTATCATTCAAATGCAATAACATAAAAATTGTTTTGTTGCCCGGTGGGGCACAAGACAGTAGGAGAGTAAAGTCCTTTATATTTTGTTAAATAGTATCATGCAAATACAATAATAGGGTATTATATATATATATATATACATATTTCGGAAAGTAATAGGGTATTATATTTTGTTAAATGGTATCATGCAAATACAAAAAATTGTCATTACATGTCAATGAAAAAAACAAAACAACTTTGAGAGAAAACTCATATGGAGCCATTCTATGACACCAGCAGAAACCAGCCTGTACACTGCGTGCAAAAAAACTAAGAAAGCTTAATTTACATATCCAGACCTCTGGAACCCGGAACATCTATCCACTGTAACTGGAGTTCAACCTCACCACACTCAACGTTTCGCAGTCTAAGAACCATATCTTGGACGACCTTGCCCTCAGCCCACACAATGCTGCTCTCTTCTGCTAAGCAGTTGTCCCGGCCTGGTTTTACTCTGGTTATTATGGTTCCACTAGGGAGGTTCCCCAGCCGCATTTTTACTGCTTCTAGGAATGGTTTAATGTCAAACTCTGCGTCTCCCATCTTGTCGTCAAGGGTGAATGTGTCCTTATCATACACTGCCTGCAATTGCATAAAATAAAATGGTGTAAGAATTAAGCTTAGAACGACAAGTGAATTATCCTCACTAATCACAATTTAAAGCTTGTTTCGTCCAAGGAATGACTCATTTCATCTTCATTATGCTCATTACTCGAGTCTTTTCTTGTTTTGCATGTTCAATATTCAAAAACTTGAGCTACATTTGACAAAATCGGATCATCATTCAAAACATTTGACAAAGAGTTTTATTCAAGTTTCTATCTCACATTGTATCCATAAGCGAATACACGAAATGAATGCAGCAACTTAATTTTTTTTTCTTTCTTTTCTTTTAAAGTTAGAGCAACTTCAATTAATTAAATATTATTATTTTTCTCTTTGTGCTGACTGCAGATTATGTGCAGAAAGTGCAAGAACTGGAGTTAATCACACCAAAGTGCAGCAAATAAAATACTTACAAGCTTGATTGGAAGATTAGAGTCTGCGACGGAAAGAGTTAAATCTTCATTCCACTCGGGATTGACATTCCTTTTAATCACCCGTGTCTTTAATTTCTGCATCGAATTTAATAGATATAAACACAAGTCAATAAGTGCAGCCAAAAGGTAAGCATATGAAAATTCAAGATAGAAAGAAAATAATAACCAAGTTGAAAAAAAATTCCAGTGCCAGAATTTACTTTATTCAATTTTTTGTGCAATTCCAAAAAAAATAAAAAAATATTGGATTAAAGCTCTGCTCTTTTTGTAGGATAATTATGTAAATAGTAAGTTCGATTCCGTCATGATTGATGGTTGTTGAGAACTATATCAAGATTATGAATGAGACAAATATTCCAGAACATAACAAGTCATTGAAAGAGAAGTGTGAACATTCTACTTCTGCAACATTGAACAGATTTCTGATCCTAGATTAGCTTTAATTAGAAATTGGTACTAGAAAATAATGAGAGAGGAAAAAAAAAAACCCCAATTAAGGAAAATTGGGATACTAATCTGAAATAAATAAACCCAATTAGAAAGGGATCATAAATAGATAAATGAGAAGAATTGAGAAAGAACTAACAATTATAGAACCAAAAGGACTTCTATTTTGGGCATAATATACACACACAACTGAGTGTACATGTGTGTATTCTGATTTTAAGCGGAGAAGCAGCTAGCCCCTAAAATGTAATTAATTACAGAGCTTGATTAACTCCAAAAATAACTATGAAACTTTATGCTATCATCCAAAATTGCTCAAACCATGAACAACCCATCAAGAAACTTATCACCAACTAATAAAAAAAAAAAGTAAAACTTGTATCAAAATTACCTGTTTGCCCATCCGGACAATAACATAAGGATCGCTGCTTTTCAGGTCTCTGACGGCAAGATTTACCCCTCTGTGGATGTGAATTCTGAGAAGACCCAACAAGTGTTCCATTTCAATAAGTTGATTCACAAGTTAATAACTGTTGATGACTTGAAAATGAAAGAAAGAACAGAGAGGTTTGTGTTTGGTTTATAAGAAAGAACAGAGGGACTTTGGAGTGGACAAAAACGGTGGTGGTGGGGGTGGTGGCTCTGATTCCTTGTTCTAACCTATTGTGGTGCTTTTATACCCACTTCAGAATCATTTTCAACCCGAGTTATAGTTTAGTTTGTTTGACAAGATCACGCGTTCGTTTGGAATTTTTTATCTCACCTTCTAGAGAGAGAGTAGAGAGAGAGAATGGGTATTCTGGTCAGATTATATTGCCAAACAATGTGTTGAAATAGCCAATAGGATTTGACTATACAACCTACGTGTATATTATTACTACGTATTATGTAGAGAGAGAAAACCAGCCGTAGGTGATTTGGTGACGAAACCTTGTTTGGTTTGGTCTTCGGAATGTGATCCATATTTTTGGATAAAATATTTTGTCAGTCTGACCACTCTCATTGGACTCATCCTCTTGCGGTTAACCTTTTTTAGTGTCTAGAATTTTATAGAGCACCTATAATTTATTACTAAATACATGCAATTCTCTTATCAAGTATCAACATATAATTTTTTTTTTCTAAAGGGACTCCATGATAATTCAAACACCCTAACTCCAATATATGAACAATTGAGTATTTTAAAAATATACACCAAGTTCTAGGTACTTAGTTATTTAGTTCAATTTTTTAAAATTAATTCTAAAAAAAATTATAAAATACAATTATCTAAAAATAAACTTTTTTTTTTAAATGGGTTTTCTAAAAAATAATTTATAAAAATTGTTAATGGAACAGATTTTTTAATATAATTTCTTAATTTTTAATTCTCCGATAACAAAAAAACAATTCTCAACAAATAAAAGTAAATAAGATCTAGGGGTTTACAATATTTTACTGAATTTTAAAGAAGCATTTATATATGTGTTTGGGTGACAATTATAAATTATGTTAAAAATATGTATCGTTGTACGCAAAATATTTGACTAAATTTTTTTGGATTAAATGGAATAATTTTGGGAGAAAATTATGATAGGGGAATGGGCATTCGGGTAAACCCGTTGGATAATGCGGGTTATGATTTGTTGATGATATGGCGACAGTTGGATAATGCGGCTTATGATTTGTTGATGATATGGCGACAGTTGACAGAGAACTCCAAGGCCTGAGCCCCGTGTGACTGCTGGGGACGCGCCTGGATAGTTCTCGGGTGTGACCCGCCTTTTGTATTTGACAGCTTCTGGATGATGGGGACATGAGAGCAGTCCAATGTTGCCGGCTTTAATAATTTAAAATATTATATATCCACTAGGTATAAACATACATACATACATACATACATACATATATATATATATATATTATGGACACTTTAGGAGCAAAAATTATAGACAATTTTTAATTTCTTTTTTGAAATTAGGGAACACTTTTTATTATTATTATTTTTTTCATAATTGGATTCACACACAAGTATCTTTACTAAGAACCCGTTTGATATGCGTTTTGTTTAGGTATTTTGTTTTTGGCTAAAATAGAAACAATGTTTTTATTATAAGAGTGTTTTGAAAAAAAATCTGAAACACGTTTGGAAACATTGTTTTGTTGTGGAAATATCAGAAACAGAAACATGCAAAAAAAAATGGTTTTGGGCCATGAACAATTATTAAAATAAGAAAAAATAACTTTTTGGTATTTTGGTTTTGGGTCACGAAGTGTTTTAGCACAGTATAAAATAAAATAACGTCGCACAAAATATGCTTTTGTTGCTAAATTTGATACTATAATAGCCCAAAAATAAAAACAGCAAAAACAAAATGCATGTCAAACGAGCCTTAAGACTTAATCTTTGCCTCTTTTTAAAAAGTAAGGGGTTCATACCACTGTACCATTGGCCTGTTGATAATTAAAGAACGCTTTAAATATGATAATTTTTTTTACGCGTTAGTCGTTAAATTAGGTCTTCTTACATTAATTGTATTAATACAATATTAATAATTTTTATTTAATAATTATACTCTCAACTTAACTTACCATAAGCTCAATGAAAGAAATATAAAAATACTATTTATGTTTTCTTTCCTAACTTGAAAATTGACGTGAAAAAGAGTCAATAAATTAGAATTACAAAGTTTTGAACAAGCAAGAGAATTTAAAAATTAGAAAAAATTCAAAAGGTGTGAAATTATTTAGAAAAAAAAAATGAAATAATTATAAAAATAAAAAAATAAACTAAAAGATACATGTATGGATTAATAGACAAGCAGTTATATCTATTTAGTAAATAATGCAATACACAAAGCATAATTAATTCACTAAAAGAAATATATTACTAATATAAAAGAAACTTGTATTGACCAATATAAATACAACATATCAAGCATAATTAATTCATTAAAAGAAACATATAGTAACTAATAAAAGAAACTTGTATTGACCCGTTGAAAAACAATTGTATTTATTTAGTAATTAATAGAATATACGGAGCATAATTAATTAATTCATTACAAAATATATATAACTAATATAAAGAAACATAAATTGGCCAGTGAAAAAACAATTGTATTTATTTGGTAAGTAATAGAATACACGGAGCCTAATTAATTCATTCATTAAAAAATATTTATAACTAGTATAAAAAAAAAACTTATATTGACTGAAAACAATTGTATTTATTTAGTAATTAATATCATACACAAAACATAATTAATTCATTACAAGAAATATATTCTAATATAATAAGAAAAATATAATTAATATAATAAAATATGAGATACCATTAAAAAATGAACCTCGATCAATAGAAAAAATGTTGGTCCATTGTCTATAGCGAAGTCTTAACTATGGTAAATTCTGGTGCAATGATACTTCATATTAACTAACATGGGAATACAAATTTGAGTCTTCATGATTAGTCTTTTGAGATTTTGATGCAAGTTCAAAATTTCTTTGTAGACCTTATTAAGTCAGCAATTTATTCCGTTAAACCACCAAATATGGAAACTCTAATGAATTAGACAAGAAACTCCCAAGGGGCGGAGCCAAGGCTTAATAGTAATTTTGTATAAGAAAATTAAAGTTGACCTTTCTAACATTTTATAAAGTTGTTATTTATAGTTATTTATTTATGAAAAGTAAAGATGATTTGTGAAATAAATTATATATGACTTTTTGGAACCTTTTGATATTGCCTTTAAAAATTCAAATTGAATTATAGAAGTGTTTTATTATTTTGTAAGTCTTGCAAAAACGTATTAGTACTATATATATATATATATATAAATATATAAATTATGTGTTGTGATTTAAAGAGAAGAAAAAAAAAAAAAAAAAAAAAAAAGAATACTCGACAATGACAACTTTATTATTGGACCGTTAATTATCTTTTTTCTATTTATTTTTCTCATATTGTTTATAGATTTGTTCTTTAAAGTATACATTAAAAATGCACCGGGGAAAAAAATTATTGCAATTATTATTTACTTATTAAATTTAACTTTATATCACTATTTGGCCTTTCAATCGAAAATTTCTGGCTTCTCCTCTCCATTCAGTTTAATAAATAAATTAGATGTTATAAGTGAGACTTGTCTCACATTGGATTCAAATCTCATGTGGAACAAATCTCCCCTTCAAACATCTCACTTTCCATTTGGATTTGATACGAAAACAAACCTCTCTTGCAACATTCTCCCCTACCCAAATTCGTGCCCTCAAAGTCACCTTGCCTATCTAGGGTGGCGCACCGGATACATCTGGACCAAGTATTAGCGTAACATCGAATTAAGAATTGGGTCCGGTTCAAATTTAAAAAGTTGATAATTCAAAATATAAAATTAAATAATGATTAAAGTTATTCCCATTATTTAGCCAAAAATAAAGCATAAACATAGAGAATTTCATTCGGAGGGAATGCATGACTATTCAAGTGATCATAGGACCACATCATATTAAAATAGGACTACATCATAGCTTTATTGACTTTTGACATAATGCGAGAAATTGATTGGTTCCGAGTGTCCAACCGACCACGTTTGGTGGTTCACATCACATATATCCCCATCTTGAAGCAATTTTGGGCATTTAAATGGACCAAATAAATTGTAGGGTTCAAAATTGAACATTTTCTATTTTGTCCTAGGGTAAGAAAATAAGCAAAAGGAACGTATTACAAAATTAGGTAAGATGTACTAAAAAAAGAATAGGTAAATTACACTAACTTTTTTTTAAAATTTGAACAAATTATACATTGATAGGGAGTTTGATCTTTATTACTTTAACATCCCCTAAGGCTTTGTTTGGATACACTGGAGAGAAAAGAAAGGAAATAATTATGAGATAAAAGAAAAGAAAAGAAAGGGACGGAAATGTTTATATTCATGTTTGGATAGACAGGATTAGATAACAAAAAGGAGAGAAAAGAAAAGAATTGATAATAATAAAATTACTATCTTACCCTTTTTGGTAGGGTTAGAAGGCAAAATCATTTCAACCTCCTCCATCTATCTACTCCCGATCTCACAGATCCCTCCGTGTGTCTCTCTCTCTCTCTCTCCAATTACAAAATCTACAAAAATAGTCAAAACCCATATCAGCTTTCTCTCCCTTCAACTGCCAACTACAAAATCTACCAAAATTAGTAGATCAAAACCCATCTGCTCTCTCTCTCTCCGTAGCTGCAAACTACAAAATCCTAGAAGGTCAAAACCCATATCGGCTCTCTCTCTCTCCAACTGCCAACTACAAAATCTACAAAATCTACCAAAATCAGAAGACGATCTCTGCAACAGACTATCTCTGCAACTTCCAGCGAATTTTTCGGCGTTCTCTGCAACTTCTGGCGAATTTTCAGACGATTTCTGCAACTTTCGGCGACTTTTTCTATGATTTCTGCAACTTCCGGCGAGTTTTCCGACAGTCTTTGCAATTTTCGGCGAATTTTCCGACGATCTCTGCAACTTCCGGCAACTTTTTCGGATGGGCTCCAAACGCCAGTAGCTCCCTTTCTCTCCAAATCTTGTCAATTTTGGAGGGATTTGGTTTTACTGTTTAGGAGAGATTTGGAGGGCTAGGCTATCCCTCCAAATCCTTCCCAATCCTTTCTTTTCTCTCCAAAACCCTCCATCCAAATACACCTATCCCTATCCTTCAATTTTTCTCTCCAAAACCCTCAATCCAAACGAGACTTAAAAGTGTGAAATGTCTTTCATACTTTTAATGTTAAGCCAAAAGAC